GGAGAGAGAGAGAGAGAGAGAGAGAGAGAGAGAGAGAGAGAGAGAGAGAGAGAGAGAGGCATCATGGTAAAATTAGGCACTCGTCAAGATAATGAAATTGGAATGCCATACATAATTTATTTCACTACACATGACTCAATATTATTGTATCAACGCATTTCAGGAGCTGAACTGTAAACCAAATGTGTGAGGCATCATGGTAAAATTAGGCACTTGTCAAAATAATGAAATTGGAGAAACAGACATTTTTCCACCAGTGTGGCATTTTCATCGAATTTTTGTTTTTCCGCTCCACGCCTTTAATGTCCATATAAAAACACATTTCCATGTGAATTTTTCCTAAAAACCGTTTTTAAAGACACAAAATACGTAGTTTTTTAGTTTTCAAGGACTCTGAACCTCTTGAAGTTACCAAACTTTGGCGGCCATTTTCTTGTTAATTTTACCACTGAAACCAAGCGACCCTATGTTCCTCAATTGCAAATATCTCGACTTCTATTCAACAATATTTTTTTTTCTCCCAAAGGAAGATAAATTAACAGTCTTTAAGATGATACTAATAACCCCATATGCCCAAAAAAATGACGAGGGCCTTATTTCACCAAGTCCTGACATATATTAATAACCATATCTCTACACTTTACTCAGTATTGTATACATATATACATGTAATATGCATTCCAGGAGCGGTACCTTACAAAAGTATTTATTGTATATATCTTTACATGTGAATCAGTATTGTATTAATGCATTCCAGGAACTGTACTGTAAAAAGTATTTACTGTATATCTTTACATGTGAATCAGTATTGTATTAACGCATTCCAGGAGCTGTACTGAAAAACACATATTTAAAACTCAATATTGTGTTAACACATTCCAGGAGCATTTAGATGGTCAGATGACTCCCCAACGTCGTTTTTCAACTGGGAGGACAAAGAACCTAGTGCCAAGGCGGGATCTTCAGCAGACACCTTGTCCGGCTATGACGAGGAATGTGTGGAGATGTACCGTGAGTCGGGCAAATGGAATGACGTCCCTTGTTCTGGCAAGTCGAGAGGCTTTGTTTGCAGAGTTAGCCAAGGTCGGTTTGTATGACTGCTGGTTATTTGTCTATTTGTGTGTCCGAGTGTGTGTGTGTGTGTGTGTGTGTCTGTATGTGAGTGTGTGTTTGTGTGTGTGTGTGTGAGTGTGTGTCTGTGTGTTTGTGTGTGTGTGTGTGTGTGTGT